CAGTTTTTTATATCAGGAAACCAACACAGAAGCCACATTGAAAGTACTGATGCAACAAATCCTCTCATTATCCACGGAAGAAATATGCCAGGTAACAGAAGTACATGATTCCCTTCCCAACCCACACAGACACTGCCCAACTAATCTGCCTTCCCTCTAAGCAGTGTTTGATGATGAACAACTACTTTGTATTCTACATGCCCCAAACTGGATCATTAACAGAGTTGGTATATTCCTGGGGTGGGGTAAGAAAACTCAAGTTTGTTACCATTGAGCTGCCTGAAATGAAATGCAAGTTTATTTGCAGGCTCAGCTTTCACTTCTTGATATCAGGTCATATTGCCACTCATGTTACTGATATGCATCATCGCATGGTTTGTGCACCAGGAGTACACATATGATTTGCAAGCTTTGCTGCCCCCTTTTCAACATCATTAGCTTAAAACACTCTGCGAAACAGGCATCAGTTGAGCAATGATATCATACACAGTACTTCACAAAGCATTGGAGCGCTGGTGTCAAGTTCTAGAGAATGGGCTGGGATCCTAATATACAATGCTACCATCATCTCGAAATATTTAGCATTCAGACACAGAACTAAGACCGCTTTCTCTCTTCAGATAAGACATACTTGGGTTGGGTTGGACTTGGTCCTCTACTGATTAGGAACCAGGTAGCTCCATTTTATCATGAAACACTTACTTTTGGGCATGTCCATAGGGTTCAGGGTGGCGACCAGATCTCTGGTGAACTGTCTGTCTCCCTCATCCTTGCTCAGCCAGTTGTTGCAAGGAAAGTAAAACCGGAGGTGAGGTCTGTTCATGTCAGTCACTATCACACGGTCAAGGAACCAGCTTGCATTCATTCCGGTGTTGTCATGCTCAATTCTATGGCACAAAGGAGGAACAAAACGCATGGGCTGGTTGGGATGGGTTGGTTTGATTCTGACAGGTTCCAGCATGTACAATATATCACAAGAACCAACACGAGGCAACATTAAGCGTAAATGAACTTCCTGCAATGGCCTACGTACTCAAATCTCACACACTTCATGGCCCTGTATTTGTTGTTTAATGATGTCACAACCTATCATTTAAGAAAAAGGTGCCTGTCTGTGTGCATGTGTGTGTGTGTGTGAGAGAGAACACATGCACATCTGTTCATAAAAATATATGTACATATTCACATACATACATACAAATCCATATCTAAATATACACCTACCCCTACAACCCTCCATCCACACACACACACAGAGGTTCACAGAAACATGTAATCATATATATAAACATTTAAATTATCTACATAATTAGCACCCATGTTATTCCTTCCCCTTTTATACTGCCTCATTCACCTCTCTCATTTTCTTACTTTGTCTACATCAATCTCTGTTTCTTCCACTTCATTTCTTATTCTTTTTCTCTGTAATGTTTAATTTCATTCAGATCATTCTGGCATTGATTAAACATAGTTATTATCATAGCTGTTATTTGTGTTACAGCAAGTCACACAGCAAACCCAATTACTTCACTGAGACAAAAGCTACAGGTGTAAGTAGGCCCCCTGGCACATGTTATATCACGTTAATGTGTTAGTTGCACCATAAATAGTAACATGCTACATGTGCAGTTGATTTATGGTGCTACAAAGATGTTCCACAGTCTATGGTAAAAATAAGCTGTCAAGAAGCTAGTTGTGGGTTCCACAGTGGAGCAGAGCTGGGGAGCAATCCCATGGGGAACCTGGCAATCCTCGTTCCCATTCACCTTTCCTTCCTTGTTCTCTAATCCCTGCAGGGGCTGTGGGGCAAGATATTTAATCCCAGGGCCCCTACATGCCATGGATGTCTAAAAACCACACTTGCAGCTCAACTACACACATGGAGTTTCAAAGGTCCCAGCATGCCGAGACCCTAGGATCAGGGACAGGCCTCCTAATCCCTGAGTCCCCATGCACCAGGACATCAGAAAAATGCACATGCAACTGGGCTTCACACATGGCTTTAAAAGTCCTGGATCACTGGGATCTTTAAAAACTGAGTGTGCAGCCCCCAGCTCTACACACAGCTTTTAAAGGTTCGCCAGGACCCAGGGAGCCTGTGGGTTCATAGGTGCCAAGTGGGTGTCAATCGACTCCCCACGTCCAACACTTGCAAATCTGTGCCCAGGTTCTCTGCTGGCAGTGGCACAATTGGAAGCGGATCCTCAATCCCAACCATCATGCCCGCCCAGCACTAGATAAGCATCTTGCTATACTAGGCGTGTCTACATGAGATGTTCGCTGAGGAGCTGCCTAATTAGCTCCACAGTAAAGTTTCAGTTGTCTATACATGTGGCCTTATTAGGCCACAGTAAACCAGGATAGTATTTGTCGACACAAGTTCTTTACTCAGCAGCAATGCATGTGTAGATGCTGACAGAGCTGGCTGGAGCAAGAGGGTGCTTCAGAGTGGGGCCTGCCTGCCTGCCTGCTAGCCCTGCACTGCAGCACCCTTGCACCCTCAGCAGCCCCTCTGCAGCACGCTGAGCCAGGTCAGAGCAGCCCTGGGCTGGCAAGCTAATGCCCAGGGCCCCCTGCAACCAGGACTGCTCCAGTCCAGCTCAGTATGCTGTGGTCCTGGGCACACATGCAAAAACCAGTGCCTGGGAGTAATAAATTCTAGTGTGAAATGTGCTGGAGTTTATTTCCTCACATTAATTGCATGTGTAGATGCGCCTACTGTGTCTAGAGACAGTCGTGTTATGTTCATACCTTATTTTCTTTATTTGTCCAACATTGTAGGTTTTTATTCGGAACACATCTGTTTTGGTCCTCTCAAAAGCACTTCTACTCCTGCAATATACATACATCAAAGGCCATATTAAGCAGATAGTAATTGTGTCAGCAAATGCACTGTCAGAGATCCATTGAGGATCAGGGTTTAATAATGAAGAATTATCATTGTCTGCCATTGGGCTAACCTGCTTTTCAATGTCTTCATTCCTGTTAAAAGCTCTGAACAGTCTTATGTCCTGGGATTAAAAACCAACTTATCCTTTTTCTACCCTCCCATTTTGACAGGTCTGACAACTTTTTCCCAGAACCTGGTATACGAACTTTGGAAGAAATGCAACGTTAGCCCAAGTGGATGCAAACCTTGGGTCACATTCCATATCTTCCCCACTGCCCTCCCTCCCTGCTCCAAAAAACCCCCCAAACAAACAAAAAACCCACTTTTCATTAATTAATGAAGAGCTGCAGTACATCCCTACAGAGAGGGATGTTTTGCAACTTTGCAAATGGGTTTCAGAAATAACAAAAAATAATTTCCTCAGGCACCACTTAGACATAACATTGAAGGAAGTTTTTTTAAATATTTTTTTGGACATTTCCTCTTCTCCTGTTCTTGAATTCACCTAAAACTACCTGAACAGATGTAGAATACACTATATTGTTGATGCTGGGGCATGGCTCTTCCTTCCCTCGCCCTTTGGGTAGTCATTTATGCAACTTCTGACTGCTAAGGCATCTCACTGGACCCCAGCCTTGCTGCTCTACAAGGTAGACAACACTGGTGAACCCAGTCCTTTGTACCTCCTTGTCGGTTGCCTTGTAGAAGCTTGACCCATTTCTCTGCTCCACAGTTGCAGAGGGCTGCTCCTTATTTGAAAGGTTTCCTCTGCTTTTCTCAACACGTCTCCTACATCAGAACAAGAATGGAGCAAGGAGTGTGTTTTGAATGAACTCCATGGCCCAAAACTACTCTGGCAGATGGTGCTATTCTGGAACTCAGGTGGGGATAAGAGAGGATGCAAGTGGAAGATGGAAGTCTTGCCACCTACTTCTGACATAAAAAGACTTTAAAGAAGTAATCACTGCTACATTCCTGCTCCACTTTCCTGTCCCATATAGGAGTCTGAATTAGTCTGTAGGACACTTCTTCATTTCTAAAATATTAGGTACCCGAAGCATTTTGTAGGTATATGTAGAATACAATGGGCATGTCTACACGCTCATTAATGTGCTGTAATTATGGTGCATTAAGTTTAATACCTGTAATGACAGGTACTAACATAATGAGCCATAATCGGTGCTACTGCACATTAGCACAGATGAAAGTTGGGGGTTTTTTTGTGACACTACTGTGCATTAAACTAAATCTACTGTACATTAGCACGGGCTTTGCCCGCCATGCTGAAGTGCAGTAGAAATAGTCTTCTGCACATTAAGCATCTTGTGTAGATGTGCCCAGTATAATCCAGTGTGTAAGATACTGGTGTGGGAGTTACAGGCTCTGGGTTCTGCTCTCGGTCCTCTTCCCAACTGTGCCATGGCATGTCTTCGGCCAAATCCATTCATCCTTCTGAGCTTGTTTCCCTCATCCACACTTCAACTTCCAGGCACGATTTCTCTCTTACGTTCTTGGCATGGCAAAGGTGAGGCCCGGTCTCTACCAGGACTTGCAGACACTAACACAAATAAGAGCATACAGAAAGAAGCCACCACATAGGAGCATAGCCACACTGCAGCAACAAGCAGCTCGACTAGTAATAATGTGAGCACCAGTGTCCAGCTTTGCTCAGATCTGTTTTCTGCGCATTTGCGATATGCTCCTGCCTTTGTTTAAAGCTTGTCTTTTTGTATTGTGCAAATACACATGTGGCTTTCACCCCGAGAAGCAACACTGCTCGTACTGTGCTAGAACAATTGTTACTACATGAAGAGGCTAAAACAGTTAACCTTGTCAGAAAGCTTTGGCAAGAAGCAATTAAATCCAGTCAAGCTTTCCTCATCTGCAACTTGGCTGTCAAACTAAAAACAGTGAGCAAGTGCAAGGCAATTAGTTTGCCAAGCTTGAGTGAACATTGTAATGACAGTGGTTTCTCCCTGCTTGTACCCTGGAGATCAGTGCACCATTGCAGATTATCCAAAGTACTACAGGGAAGATGTAGAGGTATTAACGGCAGCTAATTATCCAAAAGCTTTTAGTACACTAATTTTGTGTGCTGCTGGTTTATGGCACTCACATGACAATTCTAAGTGTTTGAATACTGTATTAAGTTTACGTGTGGTTTCGATTTCTAGCATTATGTTCATAACACTGGCACGATGCTGTGGTTTCAAGACAGAGAGAAAACTCAATAATCAAACAGCAAAGAGCGCATGTCTGCAATCACTGCCTTGAACGCCTGCAGAGTGTATGCATTACGGGTCTTGAACGAGTGAGTTCGGGACGGGATTTGGAATTGTGTCTGCAGCCGGGAGGCAAACTTTTGGAGAGTGTCCTTGGCAAGCTGCAGGCAAAACTGAATGAGCATGAAAAGTCTTGGACTGCATGTGCAACAGCAAGGGGGCAAAACTGCATGGTTTGGGGGGAAAATCCCAAGTTCTTGTTATTGGTGTTGCTCAAATACAGCACGATCGCTAGGGTAAAAAGAGATCCAACCAGTGAACTATTTCCATAGGTTGCAACAAAAAAGGAAGCGGGGAATTACAGGTGGTGTCTGCTATAGATGCATTTAAACTAGAACATTTTTGGACCTGTTATTATAAGGAGTTTGATATCACAGGACAACATAGTCAGGGGAACTGGAACTACCCAACCTCTGGTGATAAATAAAGCATGAAACACCTGAACTAGAAACTCCAGCTGTACCTTGCTAAGACCCAAAGCTTGAAACATAGTGAGGTTTTAGATATACCTACTGGTTAGCATCTGACATGGTATCTTGCATAATTTCTCTTGAAATGTTAATTCTTATCTTGAATTAAGAGGAACTAACAGGATTAGGTTTCAGGTCAGGTCATTTATATGTTGTGTTTCTGGCAATGGTTTGTCATATAGGTAATACAGTGCATTTCTGTAGGTAGCAGGCTATACAATCTAGAGCTAAGTGGATAAGTCACCATAAATAATATATTCACCAAATATATCTGATGAGGCTTTAGGATCATAAGGAAATCTTAGGACCTGTTTGCAAAAATTGGTAGGCTTAAGAATAGAGCCTAACAAGTCTTTAGTGTTAATGAAATAAACTGAATGAAGTTGTCTCTGAAGGGAAAGCAAAAACCAGGATAATTATCATTTTGGCAATATTTATGGGGCGTGTTACCTGGCAATGCAAGCTGCACATTGAAATTCCTAAGCCATATGGCATGCCCACACTGAACAATCTGTAAAGGTATTTGGAGATCGTGTCTGAAAGGTCACAAGCAAGTGCAATAAAAACATTACTTTGGGGGAGATTAAAAAGATGCTCCGTTAGGATTATCCTTGAGATGTTATTGTTTTAGTGGTATATCTGTTTAACATGGATTTTGGTATTTTTATTGTTGCTACTGCTGTTTTAGAAGAACCAGAAACTGAAGCTAGAAAATCCTGGGTCTAGTAAGACTGATCACAGTGAAGGCCAGGGGGAAAAAAAAGTGCTCCTTAAATCATTTGTTAGCTAACACATGGTGAAATCCTAATGAGGACAAGGCAGGTGTAGTTTTCTCACATGTTGGCTGATACAGGTAAGCACTGTGCTTCCTCCAATTGCAATATATGTTTGTTACTATGACTTAGCTAATGGCTGGCTAAAAAAACCCAACCCTTTTTCCACCAACACAATTTTCTCCTTGTCGCCTACAGTGCTGTCATTAATATGCTTCTGTGAGGGATAAATAACCCAGACAAATTGGCCTTCAGATCTTCTGCCAAGCTTGTTGTCATTCTGCTGACAAAATCACGACAAATCAGAAATCTGCTGAAAGTACTGCAGAAGGCAGAGACACATCGGAAAATACTCCAGATGGGAAAATTACCAGCTGAAAAGCACACCAACTGCAAGCGTTCATGAAACAAGGACATTATATTCCCTTTGCTCTTAGTAATCTGCTATCAGATGGCAAGCTCCTGGCAAATTGGTTAAACAAAGCATAAAAACACTGGTGCCTGCCTCTTGCACAACGATGTAATGGGCACACTCAATTGCTTGCAATTCCTTGCAGTTAAGCTGGGTGAGTCCATAGAAAGAAGATGGCTACCAGTAATCAGTAATAATCACGATAGCTCAGCACCAGGCCAAATCTCTGACAGCTCAAAGACTGTTTTATCACCAGCAATGGACTCGCTAAGGATCAGTTTAAAAAGCCAGTTCAACTCCTGAAGCTGTCCTACAAGAACAAAGGCAAGAATTCAACCCTAAATCCAGCTGCAAAATAGATCTTAGAAATGGTTGCAGCAGTTGACGGGTGGTAAAAGGAAATGGCAGGGCCTATGGGCCAAAGAAAGAGTGCCACCAGGTCAAATTGCTATCTGGCTGCAGGTATGAGCTTGCTCACAAACATGTGATTCATTTACTCCTAAGCTGTCCAAGGCAGTAGTCACGACTGGTAGATCACGATCGACTGGTCTATCACGGAGCCTCTAATGGTCAATCTCAGTCTGGGGGGCCTGAGTGTGGGCACGTGCACACACGTAGCATCCGGGTTTTTCCAGACATGTCCTCTTTTTTGGCTCCCTGTCGTTGTGTCGGGGCGGGTTTTTGAAATGATAGCAAATGCCGGGGTTTTTGCTTTGCCTCTGCTTTCCCAAGCTATCTGCTTGGGGCTGGGAGCAGCAGGCAATGTGACTGGCTGTCGGGGGTCACATGGTCTGCACACAGGCCCCGGCAAATTGTTCCCAGGTAAGAGATACAGATTGTTTGATTGTTTGTCTGTGTGTTTGTGTGCGTGTCCATGCACACGCACACTACATCGACGGCAGGTCTGGGGGGACACAGCTGCAGGTCGGGAGTGAGGGGCACCGGCAGGGCTGCGGGGGCAGAGGGATGCAGGTTGGGAGTGAGGGGCAGAGACAGGGCACAGGC